GTTTAAGGTTTAGGGCTTAGGGCCTGTTGAGATTTAGGGTTGAGGGCACAAGCCCATGCTGAAAAGGGTTTAGCGGGAAAACGATCTCAAGGATAAGACGTCTGATTGCAATCATAACGACAGTGCTGTGAATAGGCAGCTGACGTAATAAGAACAATGGTAATACCGGTTCGGCCGCAGAATAATTTCATGAGCAGTTGCATTGCTTGGTAAGCTTAGTAAGATGCGACACGGGGTTAGCATAGGGCTAAGACGGAGCATAGTAAGATGGGCCCGGGGGCTATATAGGAGGACGACAGGCTTCCCTAAGTCAACAGAGCCCTTTGCTTTCCAAAGCAAAAGGGCCCCATCATCCGAATTTCCCCAAACGCGAAGCCCCCGGGGGCCCGAGACCTACCCATAGGCTCCTAAGTCGTTCCTTTTTTGTGGTTCATATTTAGAATCCTATAAGGTAATCCCAAAAGGGAACTACTGAAGAGCCTATGAGAAACCCCAAACCCAAAACCCAAAACCCCCCCCCTTGCCCTAAAGTCCAGACTCTAAACCTCATCTTGCAGGCCGCGGCTACCTGTGATTTCCTGCCGCTGGAGGACCGGTAGCCAACATGGATTTTCTAGCACATACTAGGGTTTAGGGTTTAGGGTTATCGTGCATATTGTCGCATATTATGTATGTATTGCCCAGATCTTCCAATCGACTTTCGCGAATATGTGCAACCTGTACTCTGATCCTAAGTCTAAGAACTTGCGGTATCTATTGTACTTTCCGGTGTTTTGAAATTCTGCAGTGTGACATAGATCTCACATTATGACAGCTTGAGGCAGCTGAAAGGCCTTGATTGCACTGAGCACTAAGCACTTTCACGTGGCTGTCATGCTTTGACTGCTTGAAAGCACAGCGGTGACGATAGTGAGGACTACAATCAACTCGAGGTATAGCGACACCTAGTCTCATCGAGCATCTAGAAAGCTTACTTAGACCATAAGTTTGTTTTTCGTCATTACTCTACCAGACCTTCAGATCCATATGACAGAGTTTAAGTAAAAACCATTGAAGGCCTTTCCAGGTGTAACAGAGTCCGATTGTAAGTACCCATGAATCCCATGAACCTTCCAGCAGGCTGCGTTCAGGCTTCGATACCAGAAAGCCCGGTTATAAGCACACAACTTCAGCAGGAGTGGTGTCTGGCAAGAGCAGCTCAACTACAGAACCAGAAACCCGAATAATCCCAATTCCCTAAACCCACAAAGCCACAGGGACGTGCTCTGCCAATGCTTAGGCCCTAGAAGCACTCAGAGTTCAGCTCGAGAGCCCAAACTACGCTGCCTCCTTTTTTCTTTGTGACTCTCCAGTGTTCCGTGCAGTGCGACTTAGTCAAGTAGGCGGAAGCAAAACAAAGCCCAAACCTGAAACCCAAGCCCTAAACTCAACTGCAGGACCTAAAAATTATTCAGGCCCTGTATATCCCTTAAAGGTATATAATAGAAATGTACCTCAAATGATTCAGGCCCCTATAGATGTCTATAGCGCGGAAGATGCAGGATGCACAGTGCTTGGGTCTCGAAGCTGGGCCTGAGGCAGACTGATCTGCAGTCGGGAAGGAAAACGGGGTTGGTCCGAAGCCCCTAGTGAAGAAGCCTAAACAATCACCAATATTATTCCTTCAGGTTCGTTATAATAATTATACTATAGAAAGGAGCCCAAAGCCCCATTATGATTATTAGAGCTCCTACATTATGGGTATGTACATGAATGAACGGACAAATATTTGCACATCGCCAATCATGTAATTATCATGTATCGATATATGTACACATTGGATATAGACATGTGAAATATGTATACATACACGTCTTTTGAGACACGCTTTCGTATTTTGAAGACGTTGTTAATCTTCTGAGTTTATCTTAAGCAGAACCAAAAGCCATGCTAAGCCATTAAAAATCCTGAGCTCGGCCACATCCCCGTCTAACGCAAGACGTGCTAGTAAGCATGTATGTGCTCATGCATACATGACAGACAGACAGACAGACAGACAGACAGACAGACAGACAGACATACATACACCCGCATGCATATGTTAAGGTTGCTGTGGTGCTTGCCAGAGCCTGTCGGGCGAGTTATGGACTGAAGCGTGGCTAGAGTGCCTGAGCTTTGATTTGCTGGGGCCATCACCAGAGCCCGAGTAACAGTTCAGCCCTTCGCCATGCTCGCAGTGCAATGTTTTACGTAGGTTTCTGAATAATCCCCCATTCCCCTAAAGGCCCTAGCACACCAGCAGGGGTCCTCAGCAACTCCGGCGACATGCAGCGACCCGGTACTGGAATTAGTCGTTTCAGAAGGGTGGGGATATCGTCAGGGAATGATGATCTTGAATCTTGAGGAGGAGAATGACGTGTGTTGCTCAGGCGAGGCCTGTTGCGGCCTGGGTGGTGCTTGTGAAGCCTGGAACTGGCGTGATGCCGAGGGCTGCTGGGTGACGTGACTGCAATTTGAGGCTCAACTTCCCGTTCCTTACTGTTCCTGTTCTCACACCACGACTGAGACGAACGCTCCTCTTGATTTATATGTAGTGCAGCGGCCTTGCATTTCAGGTCTTTCTTTTTTCTAGCAGGGCAAGGAATTGGTTCGTGTCGGCTGCAGCTGTAGGGTTCGGTTTGCACGGAGGTTGGCATTCCGCGCTTCTGTACCGATTCCAACCCGATGTACCTCGGGGGCTGGCGGGGCGGCAAGCGTCCCCGCGGCGCACCAGAAGCTGTTCTGAGCTCTTCTGCCAAGCAGAGCCCCGGAGAAAAACTTCTCAGAGTTGATGCTTCTGTTTGCCGCACATGTGTCATCGCGATCGTCATCGTTTCCATTCATATGACTGCAAACACTTACAGATGATTCAGTCATGATTTTGTTGCCATCGTTATCATTCCATGGCAGGATGACGAGGTGCAATCTTTCTGCGTATCAGTGCGTGTAGGCAAAAAAATATATATATATGTATGTATATATATATACACAAAATCATGCAGCAATGCACATGCACCAGCCCTCACCTTTTTCGCCAGCTGAGTACTGAGGAGAGCGGTGGTGCAGCAGTACATCCTGGATCCCGTGCTTTACCAGCAGCCTGGCCAGCACCACAACTTGCTTCGTCGCTTCGGAAGGAACTCCTGGGCACGTGCAAACGAGAGTCACGAGAGGCTTGCTCTTGACACAGCCTAAACCCTAAACCCTAAACCGTACAAGAGCCTAGCATGAAGTGATCCCGAGAAGAAGCCTGAAAAGTTGAGCCAAGACTTACCGTTACATTCGGCAGATCTCCCCACCTATGCTGCTAGGATGACGTTGTATCCCGCCATAGCCCGTTCGACCCTCCTTCGCACGTCGCGTTCCGTTCTATACATCCTTCATATAGCCGATTGTATACGAAGGCTGGAAGGCGTTTGGCCGCCTGTCACGGTGAAAACGGACATCCGCATCTACGGCACAGTGGTCTCCATGGACCCCTTCCGTGTTTGGGACTGCAGGGGCTGTTTCAGGCGCTCAGATCTGGGAAGAAAGTTTGGCGAGCTCTGGGAGCCTGCCAGGAGCTTCCGTGCTGACTTAAGGGGGCTTCTTTCCTGTTCGCGCATGACTGAGCTTGCCTGCTCTTCTCCCTGCACCCAAAAAAGCCGAACCTGTTCAATTGTCTCTGTGTGAGAGCACAGAAGAGAGTCGGGAAGCTATCCGACGCTCCCCCTCTGGTCTTGGTTCTTGCCTCCCCTAAACCCTAAACCCGAAGCCAGCGTTCACTTCATAGGGAATCAAAGCCCTAAACCAGGTTTCTACA